AAAAATGTGTGTGCCCGTATATATATATATATTATATATAATATTATATGTGTGAAAAAAGGAGAATAATAAAAATATAAAAATACATAAAATAACTAGATAGGTATAATAAAGTTTCTCTGTTCACGTAGATAATTTTTTCTTCTAGTTTTAGGAGATTATTGTCTATGTCATCTACTTGGATTTATAAAATATTTGCAACCTGCAAAAGAAATTCTTCACCTCACAATACTATACTATACCGTATATAGGTATTATCATTGGTGTGACAAATGAACGAAATTCAATTTGATCTCTGTATAACATGTTGTAATTAATGACTGATTATGAAAGGTTATTGAACAACAATAGTATATTATTAAATACATATAAGATGTAGTGATGTCTCTGGCGTTAAGTTGAGGATCACACTTGTAACCTCAAAAATATCTACAGTATTAAAATCATTTTAGATAAATATTCTGTAATACACCGAAATTCACAAAAATAAATAACATGCATAGGTAATAATGATTATATATTACATTATAATGTTTTTATTCGTTGAAAATAATAACTACAGGTGTAAAAAAGAATACTTATGGATGTGTTTTAAATATTTCTACGGCTTATAAAATTAAATTTTTGCGGGTTGTATATAATTTATAAATACCAACTTTATTGTAATATCAAACAAAATTTCTATTATATGCTAGGAGGCCTAGAGTGTCTCCGTACTGGGTATAATTTATGGAATTTAATTTTCGCAAAATCAAACCAACTTATGATACCAAGAGGTACAAATAATATACACTTATGTTATTATTATTATTACTATTATCTAGTGTGTAATATCCATTATGTTTGGAATTTTTTTTTTTTTTTACACCAATACACGATATCTACCAGAACATAATATATGTCATTATCATTTACGACCGGTTATGGGATCCGTTACGCGTTGAGCCCGACGGGTGCGTGTCGGGCTGGTTGTACCGTGGTCATAGGAGGAAGAGGTATGAGAGGAGGAAATGTGAGAAAGAGATATTATGGTGCGCCGTGTGGCAGGGGGAGTTTTACAGAGGAATTGGGAGATAAAGAAGGAGAAGAAGAAAAAGACGGAGAAGTAGAATAAGAATAAGAAGTTATAGTCGTTGTCCGACACCTGTGACCGGGCCTCTGCCGCCATCGGTTCTATATACCCATATAGTGTAATTACAGTGCACGCCATAAAATCCTCGGAACGCGCCGCACAGCGCTTTGCGGTGTGGCGTGGTGATGGCAGTGGCGGCCGACTGGCATCGGCAGCGGCGGTGGTCGTTCGTAAGCTTTGTGCCGAGGCGCGTGCACTCATTACACACGCCGCCGGGGCCCCCGCGCATCCGTTGTCGGTGGAAAACGCTGACACGGTCTGTCGCGCACAGCGTATCTGATTTACAACGAAACGGTCTATACATATTATATAATATTATATATGTGTGTATACGTACGGGGTTTTAATTGTTTTCTGTTATTTTTTAAGGGGAAAAAAAAATCTCTGTATACATAATATATGAATAGGTAAACGTGTATTTCCTTTACTCTTATTCAGCTGTCAAAATATTGTCAACCCGTGCATTTTCCAAAATAACTCTGTACACGTGCATGTATTATGTATATATATATACTACGATTCCGTTTTGATAGGTACCTGCCCAATAATCGTCTGATGTAATAATACGAGATTATATTTTAAGAACAATTAATGATTTAAAATGTTATACCTGTATATTTATTTTATTTTATTTCATAATATACGCATACGAATAATACTGGGCCCCATTGAGAAGTCTCGTGTTGGGGACTTAGGAGTTCTAAATTATATTGGACATATATCTATTTGATATAGATACTTACATAATTAAATGTTAGAATTGTGTACAAAGTGCTAAAATAGATTAACTATATAATAATAATGAAAAAATATTTGACTTTAGTTTTCAGTAAATGATTGCAATATTATGTTTGATTTGTTATTTAGTGTATGATTACTATAAAATTAATTCGTCAGGAGAATTAAATAGACATTGCAAAATGTGTTTATTACATAGGTTTATTAAAATGTATAAGATTTTTGCGCTATTTATTTCGAAATGTCTCTACTAGCTTTTTATTTAGATATTTTAATAAGGAAACTTTTATTATTTGCGTATCTTATATTTTTTTCCATGCAATATGTTGGTGTAAATATTTATATTTAAAATAAATAGCATTTTTTTAACGTTCAAATATATATTTTTAATAGGTAACATGTTAAGTTTTTTTTTATAAAGTTTCTGTTGAATACATTTGTTCTTTATATAGCACTATAGCAGAGTATTAAGAATTTGATTTTGGTAAACTTATTTTAACTTCGAGATACAGCATTATTGAACGCATCATCAGCCTATTATACTATAAGAGATTAGTGATTCTACCAATGTAAGATACACTTGATATATAATTCAGTATGTTCTTGAACCATGTTCAGGTTTCTTAATATATAAATCAATTTTCTCGATTTTTTCATTAATTGATAGTATTGATACCTAACCTAACCTTTCCCATCTCCTTTAAAACTGATTAAAATTCCTAAATATTTGAAATAATGTTCCATGTTTTTGACTCAATTAAGCAATTATTCAATAATTTTATAGGTGATGTTCAAATCGTATCATATTTAAATTTCATAAAATACGAAAATATGTCATATATTATATTTTTATATAGGAAGTATCTATGCATAATGATTAATCTAAAAGGGTAGAGCTTAATATAATATGAAGATTATAACTTATGGGTAGGTACCGAACATAAAATATGATTAATTTAAAAATGTTAGTGATAGAGCTCAATATTTCAAAGAATGAAATTAATATTAACTAGTTCTAACTATATAATATTAAGTATCAGTATATTATATCTATATTTATTATAACATTTATAATTTGGTATTTTTGAAATCTTTTTGTAGACATATTTAAATGTATTGTGCATAATATCTTTTAAATAATTTAGCATTTAAGTTTTATACTTTTTTTTTATTTTCAGAATTTGTATACCTACGTATAATAGAATAAAACTAAATTAAATACATTAATTATAGTGCTTTATAATAAAACTTCACCCTTTTAAAAAGTTTATAAATATACACCACTAATCTTATCTAAATGTTCATTGTTCTACAATCATAGGTAGGTAACAAGTGAATAATGTATTAAATTTGGTTTTACACAGTTACACGTATAACATGCTTTTTTACTCGTATTGATTAAATTTTTCTTAATAACCCTACTTCAACATTTTTAGGATTTTTAGAGTGTAAAAAAATTAGCTTATTTCATAAGTTAACAAACTTCTAAATTTAAACTTGCCTTTGGTTTAACATATTGTGTAAAATTTTTATCTTTCGATTTTCTCACAAAATGTTTAAGTATTTGTTTATATAATACTACACAAATAATAAAATTATCAATAGTTATACCTTTTGTATGTATTTTTATATTACATTAAAATCACAAAATATATTTGAAATACATGTATTTGTACCTGATAGTTCTTTTAAACAGTCATCGAAAAGTATTAACGTTTTTGGAAATAGTTTCTAGTTACATTTGAAATAATTACAGACCGACTAAAAATTAAATTTTTGTTTACCATTGTTTAAGTGTCTTTTTATTTTTGAAAGACTTCATACATTTGTGATTAGCAAAATATTTTTTTGAAAATTTTATTGCCGTATAAAAATTGAATTTTGAACAAATAGTATTTAAATTTTAAAGTACAGATGAGTGAATAGAGTGGATAAATAGAATTGACATGACAGTACTACACAATATAACTCTACTAACTTATATAACTCTGCTGATCAAACTTCAATACTTAAAAATTATAATCAATAATTTGTATAAATTTGTTAAAAATTTGGTTTATATCATACTGAAATTCTATATTTAGTAGAAAATGAGGCTTTGGAATTTATAAAATAATCTTTTTCGAAGAATTGTGCGACATAAGATTTTTGTTAAAGTTCTTGTATTACAGTACAGTTATAACCAAAATCATTTTAGTATATGAATTTACTGTGATATATATTCTAATACCTACTATATGTTTTCGTAGGCTGTATTCAATTTTAATAATTCAGTTTTGTTTATTTAAAATAATTATTATGCTTACACTTTGAACTAAAATCAAATGTTGACGTTTGTTTATCGCTTTTTTCGAGGATATCGCTCATTATTAACACGAACTATTGGAGATATTTTGTACCAATATATAACTTACTATTGCATATATAACATATGTATAGGATGTATAAGCACATAATACGGGATTAGACGTATGCCGTATTGAGAAATTGGAAAATTGTTGTAGAGTACCTATTTATCACACGGATTATATTTATTTATTTAACGTGAATAATTACAAACATAGTATTGTATTATTATTTAATACATAATATTATAGTCGGCTTGCATTCGGATATGCGCTTTCATATAATGTATAAGTATCATTTTCAAAAATCTTAGTTCACAGTTTCACAATGGTGTATAACGTATATAAAATATAAATCCCTCCGAGATATATACATATACATATACATTTTTTTTTTTTTTTTTTTTTTTGTCATATTTCGCGCAGGCATATCGTATGGATAGGTTAGGGGGTGTAGTGAAGGGGTAGGAAAAACGAGGGGATTCTCGTATAATTTAATATCACCGCGAGGGTGGTGGGCGTGCCGTTGGCGCCCAAAGCGCGCGCGGGTCGTCGGTGGCGTCACGGCTATTACACCGTTCACGCGGCAAAAGAGTAGTTCGGCGGGGGCGGGTGCGTGCTGTGGTGGGACAGTCGTTGGTCTTGGTGGAGACGCGGTGGCGGGAAGAATCGTGTGCGGACGGACGGGACGGCGACGTGGGGGTTGAACCACGACAGGGGGAGAGAGGTGTCGACACTGCGGTCGGGTCACCCGTGCCGCCGCCGGCGGCGTCGAGTTCTCGCTTCTCTCATTACCGTCGGGAACCGCCGCGGCACCGCCAGGCCACAGCAGTAGTCACACGTCAGATGCGCTTGCAACATCATGTGACGTCGTCCCACTTCGTTATTATAAAGCGCGCGCGTGTTTATGATGACAGGAAAATGTGAACCGGACTCTTTGCCCGTCGTAATACCAGTCGCGTCCGAGACGTCTTCCGCAGGAATCCACGACAACAACAATAACGCGTCTTCTACGGCAACACCGTCGCCCGTCACGGCCACTGTGCATCCCTTTAGCAAGAGGGAACCCATCGTCACCAGCTCATCCTTGATATTTTCACAGTCGTCTAATCAAAAGGATGGTAAAAGGGTAATATTATATTATTATTTTTTTTTTTTATATATATACATATACAGATCGTTATAAATTATAATCTATATACCTATTTATTTATATTTCTTGATAATAATTTACGATTATCATGTAGGTACACAGTTTTAAGGCTTAAGTACAGTTTATAAGGATGCCTATTCAGAGTAATCCAATATTTTTTTAATAATATAATAGCATAAATTCATATACATATTGTATAAATGGGTATTATAGATATTAATTATTTATTGTTTTATAGTTTTATACAAAATATAGTAAAAACGATCCTACAATTTAGTATACATATGAGTATATTAAACAGATAGATGAAAATTATTCATTTTTGGGCATGTAAAAAAACTATATTTTTAAATAAGATTCATTCAATAAGTAATGGATATTTAACCTATAGTAATAACACTTATGAACTAAAATAATACAGCGAATACTAGCTATACCTAGTTATAATATTACCAACTATTTTGATAATATGCATTTATAAGTTTATTGATTATAATTTATAAATTTAATATAACAAACTTTTTATTCAACAACTTTATCTATACTGGAAAATAAAATAAATTTTTAACTCTCCGGGGTAGTATAATATATTTTATAGGTGTCGTTATATATATGTGTATAATACAGTCGATACACGGATACACGCATTACACGTGCAAGACTTATTATATACTGTATGATTATACTATTTTAAATTGTTGTTTATAAAGAAAACGTGTGCTTGGATTTTTGTGAATATATTATTAAAGCTGCTGTCTAGTTGGCAAAAATATAATATGAAAGTTTAGATTTAATAATATTTTAAAAGGATTATCATTGTTTGATGCGATAATTGAATCAACTGTTAAATTGAAAAAGATATTTTGAACCATGGTAAATGTATGCTGTAAGATTTAATAATGTATTCTTTATTAAACGCCCAAAAACTTTGATAGAAATAATATATATTATGTACATATGAATCTTTCTCCAAGGATGCTATCACCATCATATTCAATTTAACTATGCAGGTACAAAAATTTTAAAATTTTATAATATTTATAACTTATAAGCATTTAACCTCCTAACTATAATCATAAAATACCATATTATATTATAATATACTTACATTTTTTTATGCAATTTAAGGAGTATTTTATAGTGATATAAGTTTATTTTTTCAAATCGGAACCGTCATATATGTTTAGTCTTTAGTGTACATTTTTAAGCGGATTATGTTTTTGATCATTTTGTTGCATATAGGTAAATCGAAATTTAGATGAATTTAATTTTTGAGTTATTGAACAATTTTTTTTTTTTTTAATAAAACGATATGAGAACTATAATGATGATCTAAAAACTAGGTATAGTAATTAATTAGTAATTTAATCTTATAATTTGAATATATGATTAATACTAAACAAAGTATTACATCATTTTAATATTTTATGTAACCATTATTGATATAGTACGTTGTGCGTACATAAATATTTTTCCTAAATAGTATACAGTTCGATTACAAATAATTAGTTTAAATTTTAACTATCAATCAAAATTATATTGACTTAAAAAGTAATCCAAAACTATACAAAAATTAAACTCAGTAAACATGATATTATTATTTTTGGAGGGAAAGAATTATTGGAGAGGGCTAATATTCTGTAATCTTTAACTTTGATTATTATTAACTACATGATATAATGATAATATTTTACTTCTTATTTTCTAAGTGGATCTTTTAAAAACGAATTGTCGGCTATCTTTAATATTTTTCTTATTAAAAATTTAGTACCAATATTTGTAATAAATAATAATCAAGCTGTAATATAAATTTTAATGCAGTAAAATTTTATAAAAATCATTAATTACAAATGTAAAAAGTAAAAAACAAATTTCCTTTTCATCTTTCTTTAGTAGTTATCGGTCTTTAAGACTATACTGACAAACATTACCATGCTATCTTTATCTATTGCTAAATGCTAGGACTCACCAATCTATGTTTGGGACAACCTACTTCATGTCTTTTATGGTAAAGACCATAATATAAGCACTGAACACCCTATCGATGTTTTACCTTCTAGTGTATCACATTATGCAATGTGTGTAAGCGAGCCTTTTTTCGCAACACTTTCAAAGGTTAAAATTCAATACTTTAAACATATTAAATATTTTTGCCTAATATGAAACATATTCTTTGTATGTACACTTAAAAAATAAAGACACAATAGGAATAATTATTTGTCAAACAAATTGAAATATTATGTAATACTTTAAGGTAAATAATGACTAGTCAGAATGTTAATAAAAAAATAATTATTTTTTTACTATACACCTTGATATCTTATTCCTGAATAGAATAAAAAAAAAATACTTTTTAAATATTATTTTGATACAATATTTTTGATATTTGCTTTGACTGGTTTGAATTTAATTTAAATACAAGTTGTGATATACTTTTATGAATCTACATAATAAATCAACGTTCAAAGTAGTTACTATAAGTTAAGTATCTCAAGCACGATATACTTATTATTAATATATTATTTATGTTATATTATTGTTCCTTATGTATAATTATTAAAAATTGACCATAGAATATATTAAACAATTTAAAACTTAGGAGATACATTTTATACAACAATATTATATATATTCCTATAATAAACATAGGTTAAGTAACATTATAAACCAATTAAATCGACAAATAATTATATGTTATAATTTAAGTATTTGCGAACTTGAGTACTTAGCCTAACTCACAATCGTTAGTCTTTATTTAATTTAACATAAACATAATACTTTTATTTTAACCTAACTTTTGATTATCAGTTTAGAACAAAAAGTAATTGATTTTCATCTATTTTAAAAACATTTATATGTATTGCTGCACCTATTGGCCGTTGGATGGACCTTATTTCTTTCTTGGGTAGTTTAGTAATTAAGACTAAAAACGAGTAAAAACAGTAGTACACTCTGAATAGCAAATTTAATACTCTTGTATACTATTATTTATATATATAAAAAAAAAAAGGTAGGTATCGACGGTATCGTTTTGTTAAACGATGCAGGCATATTGAACGTATTGATGCAGAACCGATATCGATTTATTCTAGGAGATTTTTTGACTTTAATCGAAAGAAATGTTCGTTTGTACCGTTAAATTTAATCTCCCCTACCTCATGACGACGGACTTTTCGAGTAGTAAATGAAAAAAGAAAATCGTTTTTTCGACGACCTCAACGATTAGCGGCAACGGTCGGTCATACGAAATAAAACCGATTATCAAAATGTCCACGACCATCTCATAATATAAGATGCAGGGGGAGCAATAAGAGTGAGCCGACTTTCGAGCGCAATCGGGCCGACGCAAAACCGGGCAGACGAGTCTCTGCTCCTCCCCCCCCCAAATCCATCCCGCCGACAACACCGGCGGTCCGGGTGTCGTCGTCGTTGTCGGCGGCGGCGGCTAGGAAACACAGTTGGATGGCATGCCGAGCTGACGGGGCGGTCCGGTGCGGCGGCGGTTATAATACTAAAACCGATCCCGGCGGCTAGCCGGTCGAGTTAACGTGCGCGCGCGCGCCACCGCCTTTTATGTGTGCCTACGCGTGTGAACATTTTCGTTCCCCTCCCCGTCCGTCGGCGCGCGCGTGTGTATGTGATATCTGGTCGTCCGTGCTGCCGGTAATAATAATTGCAGCAGCGATATCAGCAGGCGAAGGGTTTATATAACGAACGTGCGTGTGCGGCGCGCTCGTGTGTGTGTGTGTGTGTGTGTGTGTGTGCGTGTGCGTGTGCGTGTAAACGCGGCGGTAGATGGACGACGCGGTGGCGGGAAACATCGGCGCGCGGGTGTTGGCTCGCCCGCCCGCGCGCGTGCGCGCCTGTGTGTGTGTGTGTGTGTGTGTGTACGCCGTGCGGTGTCGGCGTTGTTTGTTGTTGTCTGCGTGTCTACCGGACCTTCTATACTAAATCGGGACTCGGAGCGTGCAGGCCGGAGGTGTGGTGCGGGTCGGCGGGCACTACTACACACAGCACTTGCGTCCGTCCGTCCGCGCGCCGCCAGCCAGTGTCGGGTGCCGCCACCGCCGCCGATTCCCGCCTCCGCCCTCCGCAAGGACGCGCTCGTCCGTGACCATCTAGACAAACATTGGTTGCTAAACGTGCCGCTCGGTTTCATATTATTATGCACGTAATATATATATATATATATATATAATAGGAGGTACCTACGTATTATACGCGTAATAATATTATAATAATGATTTAATGCCCACTTCCACTACCGTGTTTTTTCTATGCTTGTATATCAATAATAATATGATTCGATCACGTACGGAGCCTCGGGGGTGTGCAGCGCGTATGCAGATCAGATAAGAGGTCTGCTTTAAATTAGAATTTAAGAAGGCCGCTAAGTTAACTGCACTTAAAAAAAAAAATCATAGTCCTAGTTATCAAAAATAAAAATAATGCATTTCCTACTTTGTTAATTAAGCTCAAATTTAAGTGTTTAGAGCTTTTCATATTTTAATTTTAACGAGTAATACCGGACTTATTTTTCTATTCAATAATTTAAGCTAAAAGTTATTCATGTAAATGCTATCATGAAATGGGTGTGGTGGAAAGCTTCCACGAGCATAGTCTGGTTAAGATTCTGCTGCATAATCCACGGTCTTCATGAACATAACTTCTGGTTTCACCAATGGATTCATTTCACACATGTCTTATAGTACTATATCTAGACACACATATGTTGCATACTATATAATATCAATAACTAATAATTAAATCTTATTGTTTAACTAGTTTAAAACATACAACGATACAACACTTTAACATTGTACAGATTTTGTTTTACTTTTTTGTGTAAGTCATTTTGTTCTTAGGTCCAGAAAATGTAAAATTATATGTCGTAATTAGTACCTACCTTGAGAAATTGTCAATACCACGTATTACGTACATAAATATTATATCGAGTTAGCTGATAGATATTATTA